CGAGGACTGAGCCCTTGCAGCACTCCAGGTGACTGTGACACATGCTCGACCTGGAGAACTGCTGGGGAGGTGGACAGAAGCATGGATTTTGAGTGAGACCGCTGGTTTTGAACCCTTTAAAACACTGAATTCTGTGTAAACTGTTAAGCCCGCCCTAGGCCACAGCAAATGCTCAATACAAATCTCTCCTCCTCCTCCTCATCATCACCATCAGCAGCAGCATACATAATCTGCCACAGCCACTGAAATGACATCATAGAGCCAAGGTCCCCAAGCTGGCCATCCTGTGACGCGCGAGCCTTCTCTGGTGGAAAAGAGGATGGACGCCGGCCAGCTGGAAGTCCAGCACGGTTACGATGGCATCTGTGCTCACGGCCAGGTGCAGGGAGGCCCTCCAGCGAAGGAACTCTGGCTGGGAAGGGCAGATTCTGCCTCTGCTCACGCCCGCTTCCCTTCCCAGCGGGAGCGGGAGGCTGGGCTCTTGTAAGTTCGCTGAGTTGAGCCATCGAGGTCTTCCGATGGCCTTCCGAGGACCTGCTTTGAAGATCCTGCTCGAATGATCTTTTTTCTCCTTTCTTCTCATCACAGACATGGACCTCTGGGACCGACATCCTCTTCCTTTACTGCCCTTTGAACTGGTTTTTCAACATCAAACAGAGGAACAGCCAACAATGCAGAGGGCGGAGGAGCTGGCTGAAGCTCGTGAGCCGTAAATGGGGGACAGTTTGGCATCAGCGGTTCGGGGGCGGGGGAGTGGAGGTGGGGGCAGGGAACGCCACCAGGCCGGGGAGAGAAGAGAGACGTGGGGACCCGAGTTTTCAAAGTATGATGAATCTTGGAAAAATTCAGAAGCACTTCCTCATCCAGAGGCATCGAATGTAGAATGCGGCTGTTTCATGACTGAGAAATTCCAAAAGCCGTAATGATGGAGAGAAACCCAGAGGTGATAGCAAACGGAAAATTAGATGTTGGTTTGCAGCTCGGCATTGCGTTATTGTTTAGAGGAGGGGGAACATGCTATTTTTTTTTTAATGTGAAAAGTCTACCAGCAGCACGGTTGGAAAACAGCAGTCTCGTTCACTGCTTCATTATCTCGGATATACTCGGGGAGAGAAAAATTGCAGGTTGTCCAGAAAAAAGCAGAAAGAATGATGAAAAGAGAACAGAGACTGACTAATATAAGGACAGCAAGGAACATAAGGCATGTGAAACGTGGCGAACTTGGTTCCAGGAGAAGGTGGGGGAGCAGATGGCGGATACTGGGGAGATGTCGCATCATCGATACAGAGGCTATATGTGGCCTTGCACAGGCTTCAAATGAGCCCTAATCAAGGGAAAGTAAGGAATGTGTTATTTGGATTGAAATCTAGGAAACTGTAAATGCAGAATCTGCCAGGATGCTGATCAATAACAGCCCTTACAGGTGCTATTCCCTTTGCCCGAGATGCTCTTCCTCTTACACTTGCCATGACCAGCTCCATAATAATTCAGGTCTCAGCTTAGGTGTCACCTGCTCGGAGAAGACAGGACCCTTCAGACAGAGCACCTTCTCCTTCCACCTGCGGTGTCCCTGCAGACCTTTGACCTTCCATTACTGAGCAATATGAAATTACTGTCCCCACGAAGTTCTTTGCTTCCTTCATGTCTGACTCCCTGCTAGGATGCTAGACCCACAAGCTAGGGGGTCTCGTCTGTCGAAATACCCAGTAGATTCCACAGGGCTGATTATTCCCATAACTGCTCAGAGCCGTGAAGTCACGGCGAGCACTCTGCTGAGGCTAAGACTTCTCCACGTTAACTGACTCAGGCTACACAACAACCATATTTTATTATTTTCACTCTTTTTAAGAGACTTGAGGCCCAGAGAATTTGGGTGGCTTCGAAGACCCACAGCGGTAGGTGCTAGGGCTGGGATTTGAACCCAGTTTCTCCAGCTTTAGGCACCACTGGCGGAAGGCACCACTTTGAATGGTATTCTTGCCGAAAATGCATAATCTGAATTTAACCGCTACACAACAACCATATTTTATTATTTTCACTCTTTTTAAGAGACTTGAGGCCCAGAGAATTTGGGTGGCTTCGAAGACCCACAGCGGTAGGTGCTAGGGCTGGGATTTGAACCCAGTTTCTCCAGCTTTAGGCACGACTGGCGCAAGGCACCACTTTGAATGGTATTCTTGCCGAAAATGCAGAATCTGAATTTAACCACGGCGAAAACGAACAAACCTCGTCCCTCAACCACGGCGCCATACAGGGTGGACCCAACAACCATGTATCGAATAAATGAATCGATCAAGGCGTGCATGAATGAATGCATGAGAATTTGAATGCAGAACATCTGCCCAAGGCAGACAGCAAGAAAGGTATGGTGTCTCCACCTCGGCTTAGGACGATTCATAAATGAGAGCCTTCAGGAATCACTCGGATGTCACCCAGGACAGAGGCGCTGACTCCCCATGCTGATTACCTGTGTGAGGCTGAAGAGAATCTCCATGCCCTGAGCTGCCAGGAAGGCCTCCCTGCCGGACCGGAGGGTGGCGATGTGCCTCAGGCAAAGCAGAAGCGCCCGACGGATCAGCACGTAGGTATTGGCCGTGTCGTGGCTGTGCCAGTCCTGATGTAGCCTGAGCAAGCTGGTGACGTAGCCTCTGTTCACCGCCCTGCGGCTGTTAGACCCTGAAACCAATGGGGAAGGCAACGTCGTCAGTCGAGGGCTCCCTTGGAAGCACCTGCCCGACGATGTCCCAGTGCACCTCCCACGTGGCAGCTATGAGTTATAAAGGGAATAACAGTTACTTTCTGGTGAAGAAAACTGACAGGTGCCACCTTTAGCGACCGATCAAAGTCAACGTCATCAGACATAATGCACCGAGAAAGAAAGAGCGCCACTTTGAATGGTGTTCTTGCCAAAAATGCGTCATCTGAATTCAACCACGAGGAAGATCAGCAAACTTCAAATGAGGGACATGCTACAAAACATCTGATCTATACTCTCCAAAAATGTCCGGGTCGTGAGAGGCAAACAAAAAGAAAAAAAATGACAGGAAATGAGCTAAAGGAGATGAAGAAGACATGACACTCAGGAACCGTACATAATTATAATTTAGACCCTGGGCCAGAAAGCGTTTTGTTTTCCTCTTGCTACAAAAGGCAATTTGTAAAATTTGAAGTAAGATCTGTAGATTAACTAATAGTATTGTATCAATGTACATTAGATTTTGATAAACTGTGGTTATATAAGAGACTATCATTGTTTTTAGGAAATTCAGACTTGGAGTATTAGGGTATGGAAATATCGGCAACTTATTCTGAAATAGTTCAGATAAAAATTGTAATAGTGTATGTGGCAGAGGGGTGGAGAGAGGGAGAGGGAGAGAGAGGGAGAGAGAGAGAGAGAGAGAGAGAGAGAGAGAGAGAGATTGATTGAGAGAGAGATTGAGAGAGAGATTGAGAGAGAGAGAGAGAGAGAGAGAAATTTCCACCAGATTTCCATTCTTTTTTTCCTAACTCTCAGTGGGCTTAGAACACTGTCACGGGGTTGAGTAAATAATAAGGTTTATTTTGGGAAGGAGGAGACACTGAGTGAGACATAATATCTGAAAGGCTGTCATGTGTCAGAGATACGCTGGGTGTTTTTCCCAAAGAGAATGGAAGCCTGCATATGGAGAACCAAGAGGTGTGACGCAGTCCAAGAGAGAAACTCTTCCCAGTCAAGGCTAGCCAACAAGAGAGTGGCCTCTCTGTGGCCGCGAGCCACCGGGAATGAAAACGTCCAGGCAGAGAGGTTGGACGGACCCCCAGAGGGAGCGTGGCATGGCTCCACACTGCCCTTCACGCTTTCGACACCATGACTTCTCTTTGTCAGGGGAAGGATCCTGGTTGGCACTTCCTGTGACACCCATTTTATGGGATGAGTAGATGCTTTCTTGATTTTTTCCAAAGGTATCATTTAAATTCTCTTTGGGGAAACCCGGGGGGAAGAATAGTCCAAGGTACCTCTTTTGACAAGAGGCTTCTGCCACTTTTCATGTTCAAGTCCTCGGCAACGGGGTGGGCGGGCACACGTGTACCGTTCGGATCTACCCTGGAGAGGCCTGGGCATCCGCACTCCCGTGCCATGGTGACCCTCGGGCACGCATTTTCAAATCCTGCAGCTCTGCCCGCTCACTACTGCAAATCTCCATGATCCAGGCTGTTCGCACTGGTTAGAGACCAGCTGCGCTTCTGGCCGAGTGTGTTTGTGGGAGATCCCCTGAGCTGTTTGTGAGAGATCCCCTGAGCTGTCACAGATGAGCACGAATTTCAGCTCAGAGTCAGACATTTCCCTAAGACCATATAAGTGCACGTGAGTGAAAAAAATAAATAAATAACATGAAAATTCAGTGCTTTTCTCAAAAACGGTTTTCTCATAATATTAATGAAATTCTTTTTTCTTTTCCTGCTTGTTTGTCAAATTCTAAATGGTCAAGCTTGACTGAGCCCCACGGAGATTTCTGACCCATTTCTGCAGTTGATTTTACTTTCTTTACTTTTTTTCAAATTTCATTCAGCCATGACCCTGACTGAGAGTGATGAGCCTTATTCACTCGGTGATGTGTTTGTGGAAGGTTTAAATCGCCTTCATTACCTCCTTGAATGAATTATTCTTTTGTATCAAAAATATTTCTCTCCTTGGCTGGTCCCGGCCACAAAGCACTAAAGTTCTTTACTGCCTAAATGAAGTTCCTGCCTCTCCAATATCTGATGTTTAAAAGAAAATTGAGGATTAAGTAGGAGGTATTAAAGGAAAGAATTGCCTGCTGAAAAGATGCCAGAATGGTTAAGGACCTTGGGCTTTTATCTATTTAAGGGTAAGATACTAATAATGTGCTACCCTAAGGACAGTCATGATTTTTTTTTTTTTTGCAGGTAGGGGGAGGGGGGTAACGGGGGAAAAAACCATTTAATTATTTGAGAGAAAAACCCTTTATCAAACCCCAATGATTTTAATCACGATTTCATGTTAATGCTCAACAGGCTGTCACGTTTACTGACATCTAGAGTAGCTGCACCTCCTTCCCCTCCCCCACCCATCCATCAGTCAATCTGTCCCTGAGAATGGCTGGGAGACTTTTGTAAAAGTCAATATGTATCTAAAATCCGACAAGAGGAGATTCATCAAAATGAGGAAGAGCGAACGAGAAGAGCCAAAGGATGAAATGAGGGTCACAGGGATCAGCGACTTGGAGGAGTTCTGGAAGATGACAGGAAAACACCACTTCCCCGAGGCAACCCAAACAGACAGGGGGAAACGTAGGGATTGAAAGTTTTGGGGGAGCTCAGGGAGCAGGGGTAAGGAGAGGTCCCCAGGTCCCCCAGCCCTCTTCAAAACAGACCGGCTACATTTTAGTTTAGAATCTTCTCAGATCTTCCTGGGGGAAAAAATTCCTGTTCCTTAATTCTTAAAAAAAAAAAAAAAAATTAAATTTTTAATTTCCTAAGGAGACGGGTTTATCTTAATCTAGTGGGAGGATGGGGGTGGGATGAACAGAGAGGAGTTCTGAGTCGTTAACTCCTCACCCCCAAACCCTCCTCATGAGGGGCTAAGGAAGTTAAATGAAATAATACATTGGGAACAGACAACTGGATCTCTGGTGTACATGATACGCACTCGACTCCTGCTGGCTATTATGACTGTCACCATCATCATGATAAGCATCATCTATTTGTTCTCCCCACTTCCTCTCGATGATTATGGACGACAAAGTGCCCAGTGCTCAGAATACAAGCTTACTGCTTCCCACAGCCTCACGGAGGAGCAGCTCCGGAGTCACAGAGCAGTCGATTTAAATTTTGGCTCTACCACTTACTAGCTGTGGAACCTTGGTTAAGTGAGTCATTCTGAACTAGAGTTCTATCACCTGCAAATATTAAAGCAAGGCAAAAAAATTAATTAAAACACCAGCCTTACGAGTCCATTATAAGGAAGGAATGCCTAGCATAGCACCTGGCCCATAGATGCACAGCACCACAGGTATGTGCTCAATAAATAGCCATTCTTCTCCATAAGGATGACACCTGAACTTCACCTACCTTTCATCAGTGAGAACAGCCCAAGGAAAAGTCTCGAAATAAGTACAATTTATAATCAGTGATCATCAATCCCCATGCAACGTAACTGGATTCTCACCCTGAAATGGCCACCAGTTTTAGCTCGCTATCCTCAGACACCCTGGAATATACACACGCGAGGGTTACATCTCATTTCATTCCAGCTGCCCCTACAGACAATGCCCATGACATAACCTTTAGAGTCCCCTCTCTGGCAAGATTTACCACGATTGGGTCCCATGACACTAAAGCACTTTTAGAAGTCCAGTTAGTGCTGTGAGACCTTCTTGACTGATAATGACTAAGTGTCCAAGAGCTCACCGTCACTTTTGTAAGGCATACGTGAGCAAGAATAAATACAGGGTTTGGGGCCCCCATCATCCTTACAAACAGAAAACATCTTCAGCCAGCATGCCATGACATCACTATGCCAAGAAGTTCTTGCCCAGGAAGATGAAGGAGCATCATCGTTTGTTTCAGAAACTTCAGTAAAATTCATTCACGTGAACTACTGACAATTCAGCGTGTCCTTTTCAGAATAACACCCCCCTTCCCAGAACGGAAGAACAATCAACTGGGCTTATCGAACCCTCGTCCATTCTCCAAGGTTTGCTTCCATGCCCCCTCCTCACCATGTCTCCCAAAGCTGATGACCAAGTATACCGCGTACATTGCCTGATCTCAATTAAGACGCCCCCCCGCACCCCACACACACACAGTGAAAGACTCACTTTGAAGCATGGCTCTCACACGCTGTGATATTCCAGCCTAGAACTCCCCTCTGGGACACTTTGCTAAAACTCAAGATGATGGTGACTCTGACTTCAGGAAGCATACCCTCATGACTCTTTGCACCAGATGGTTCCAGTGGTCTTTACAAAGAGTCAATTTAGAAAATATTTCTGAACAAAGTAGACTTGTATCAAGACTTCTAAATCAGATCATATGAACACCAAGCAGCCTACGTTGCCATCAGAACACCAGGTACGACTGCCAAGTATTTATTTACCGAACGCTCCCTGCGTGCTCAGCGGTGAACCAAGCATTTGACACGATCACCTCGTGTACCTTCTGGAAATGCTCTGAGATCAGCACCGCACATTCCTCCTTTCCCAGGTGAAGACACAGAGATTGAGAGAAGTTACGCGACTTATTTAAATTCACCAAGCTTATAAACTGGCACATGGACTCCCCCTCTGCCTCCGAAGCTGACATCCCATACTGTTGTCCGCACAACTCCTGACGCTGGCTAGTGCGGTTTACACTTTTTTGCACCGATAGAAAGACCTTGAACAGTTACCATGAGAATCAGCTTCTTGAAGAAGGTTTCTGAGAGGCTAATGGAAACAAAGCCAGCGGAACACCTGAAGGCTGAGGGGGCGTGGCTTTCAGACGTTTTTAACTTGTCTCGGCCCCTCCACCCGAACGAACCCCCTCGGCCATCTCTGTTCCCTCCCAGACCTCTAAACTGTAATAAGAGTCGATTTTTAATAGGAAACTTGGGAAGGTTTGAAGGCTCAGTTGATGGTTTCTCAGGTCACTAGAGATGCTACATGGAGCCTACAGAAACCCAGCCAGTGACTCTA